GCAATGTGACAACTGTAAAGGTTGGTTCCATGAAGCATGTACAGATCTAACAGCAGCAGCCTATAGCAGATTCAGCAAGTCTGATCGTAGGTGGGTATGTGTTACCTGCAACACCGATACGGTAGTTATGTTGGGTACTATCATTACTTTACTGACAGGTCTGAGAGATAAGTTGTCTAAGAATTCGGTAAATGATATCATCATGACGGATAACAAAGCTGGAACGCATAGGGCAAATAAGAAAAAGGATACTGACAGGTCGGTTATCGACGGTGCTGTTAACAGCACGAGTGATGATGTGTTGAAACTCAGCACCATCCTAACATCGACTGTCATCGACTCCCTCAGTAAACTTGGGTCCCCCGGGGAACAGTCCTTGAATGAGACAGTGGTTCCTAAAAATCCTGTAGGTGGATGGACTCACGTTAACAGGAGTAATAAAGCCCAAGCGTCCCCTCCGAAACTGAACGTCCCAAGTATCGTGCGTAAATCAATTGATGCTTTGGCCGCACAGTCTACACCCAAGACTGTCCGCCCGGTCATCACTGAGCCCAGGAATCGAAAACGCGCCTCGACATCCAAACAACAAGATACCAAACCTAGACGCCCTGGAAAACCTGGGAAATCAATTGCGGTTCGTGACGACTCTGTCATAATCATGAACCTTATTGACAACCTCGACCTTCCTCTCAGTTTGCAGGACAAAAACGACAGGATGCTCTTTGGAGAATTAAACAAGAGGCTTGGACTCCCTAGAATAGAGCCTTTGACCGTCACACGGCTCACTCGGGGGAAGGACTCTAACCACCTAAACCACCCGAGGCTGCTTCGTGTTACACTTAAGAATGCCTCCGACGTAGAGGACGTCCTGCTAGCCAGTCACTTACTGAGGTCCGATGGGAACGTAAGAATACTGCCCGACATACCGTATTCTGAACGAAATCTCATCCGGAACATCCCCAAGGAATCTCGCGAGGCGTTCTTCCGTGGACGAAATATCATTGTGCAAGGTGTGCCGGAAAATATGGACCCAGCTCAAGCAAACTCTGATATTCGGGAATGGAAATTCATCAAGCATTCCTTAAAACTCAAGAACATATTGACCCAACAGGTAATGAGACTGGCCAACAGAGACGGAGACTCTAGGCCCCGGCTGCTGAAGATAACCTTCCCCTCCTCCCACATGGCGGCTGCAACTCTGGAAGCATTTCGTGCCAATAAACGTCGGTTGCCAACTGGCATCCATATGCATCCGGATAGGCCCCACGACAGCAGGATCAAGCACAAACGAAAGCTGGAGCTGACAATTCCACTCGTGGACTGTCTTGATCATAAAAAAAACGTGTAAAGGACAGGGACTACCAACTCGGTAAACATCGTATAGGTAGGCTACCTGTCCACTCACACACGGCTCATATAGACAAACAAGAAGAGGCTCACGCGTTCCAAATTGAAAGCATAAACTGCCTATACACGAACGCCGCGAGCTTGCCAAACAAAATGGATGAGCTACGTGAACTTAGCAACGCTAATGATGCCCATCTGATAGGAATATCCGAAACTTGGATAACGTCTCAGTTTACGGACCAAGAGTTAGCAATAACTGGGATGTCTTTATTTCGCAACGACAGAAAAACAGGAATGGGGGGTGGGGTAGCACTATACGTACGGTCATGCCTGGATGCGCACCAACTTCACAATCAAGAGTTTCACAATCTTGACGAGTCAGTATGGTGCTCAGTAAGATTATCTACCACCTCGAGGTGCCTAGTTGGGGTCGTTTACAGGAAGCCCACTGCCGACATCGAATATGACAAACGTCTGCTGGAAGGATTAACTCGCTCTACGCGTCTCGGATTCTCTCATATCATGATTCTAGGGGATTTCAATCTCCCTAGAATCAACTTCGTGGAACATACATACATTGGTGGTGCCAACTCTACTGAAGCTCTGTTCTTCAACCTTATCGGCGACCTGGGATTATTTGAAAATGTGAAGTCGGCAACCCGTTGGAGAAACAGTCAGACGCCGTCACGCTTAGACTGGGTATTCACAAACGAAGAATTCCTAGTTGACGACCTCTCAATCCTGGCTCCCCTGGGCAAAAGTGATCACGCCGTCTTATCATTCAGCTTTGTCAGCAAGACGGAGCTACGATATCCTACTAGCAACAAGCGCTGGAACTTCAAACGGTTGAATGTGTTAGCTTTACAGGACTATCTTCAACAGGTGGATTGGGATGTTCGCCCTGAAATTGAAGTGGATGCTCATTGGGATTTTTTACTGCACACGACCTTATGTGCTACTGAGCATTCAGTTCCCAAAATGGTCCCAAAAAGCTACAAGCAACCTGCAATCATCAAGAACCGCACTCGTCGTTTGCTAAGCCGCAAAAGGCACTGTTGGGCTGAATATAAACGAACGGATAACAACGGCGCGTACAGGCAATACAAACATATAAGGAACACATGCACAAAGGCAATAAGAGAAGACAGGCTTCAGTTCCAGACCAAGCTTATCGATAGATTCGTCTCCAATCCGAAAAGCTTGTTCAGTTATGCAGCTTCTCTTCGACAAGGCAAAACTGGAGTTTCCCAACTGCTTGGTCCTAATGGCCCGACCAACAACGACAGTGATGCCGCTAACCTTTTGGCTGAACATTACTCCCGGACACTCCAACTGACCCACATTAACCATACTGACGAAAGCTTCACCTGCACCTCTACAGGACTTTCCGAAGTGGACCTGAGTGCTGACTTGGTGCTCCGTAAACTGCAGAACCTAAAAAAAGACACTTCTCCTGGTCCGGAAATGGTTCATTCCGCCGTACTGAGGGAAGCAGCTTCAATCCTGGCGACACCACTTAGCGTGATGTTTGCACACTCGCTAAGCAGAGGCAAACTACCGGAAATATGGAAGCTGGCTCACATCACACCAATTTTCAAAGGAGGTCGACGCAGTGAACCCTCAAGCTACCGACCAGTGGCCCTTCTCTCCATACCTTCAAAAATTATGGAATCCCTAGTATTCGACGGCATACTAGAACACTTATCATCCTCAAAGTTCTTCTCGCCTCAACAGCATGGTTTCAGAAAAGGTCATTCTTGTACGACCAACCTGCTGACTGCGGTGGATAAATGGACAACCATCCTTGATCGCAAGGGAAAGGTTGACATCATTTACCTGGACTTCTCAAAAGCTTTTGATAGGGTCAACCATGCATGTCTTATCAAGAAGCTTGGACGATTGGGTATAAAACCCCCTTTAATTGACTGGATCACTTCATACCTAGAAAACCGACATTTTAAGGTCAGGGTTAACTTCACTCTCTCTCAGGCTATGGAATGTCCTAGTGGGGTCCCCCAGGGTTCAATACTAGGACTTCTTCTCTTCTTGATTTATATTAACGATCTTCCTCAACAAGTTTCATCTGATTTATTGCTTTTCGCTGATGATGTGAAACTTTGGAGAGAGATACGTACTCACAATGATATACTAGTTCTGCAGGAGGATCTGACTCGACTTCAAAGTTGGGCAGACGACAGCGGACTTACCTTCAACACTTCAAAGTGCAAGGTAGTCCATCTGAGACATGTTGCAGACTATAGTTATAACTTAGGTAACTCACCTCTAGAAGTTTCCCAAGTTGAAAAAGATTTAGGAGTGTTGGTACCCTACGACCTGAAATCGTATGCGAACTGTGACAAAAACGCCTCTCAAGCAAACCTTGCACTGGTAACATTGAAGCGCATTTTTGGCCAGTTTGACGGTAGAACCTTCCATATAATCTTCAACAGTTTTATTCGTCCCCACTTAGAGTACGGAAACATAGTATTTCCTCCCTCCCTCCAAAAGGATAAGGTCACTCTGGAACGTATACAACGTCGAGCCACGAAATCAGTTCGGGGTCTCAAATTCAAACCTTATGAAGAGCGCCTCAAATCACTTAACCTTTACCCGTTAGAGTATAGGCGTCTTAGAGGTGATCTTCTTATGACTTATAGTATCCTTAATACTTCTGGTCATCCCCTTAAACAATTTCTTAAGCTTAGTCATAACACTAACCTCAGAGGTAACACCCAGAAATTGGAGACCCTACATAGCAGAACAGACTGCAGACACAACTTCTACTCCGTAAGAGTAGTCAAGTGCTGGAATTCGCTGCCGACTGAGCTAGTCCAAGCGACCTCCCAGGAGTCCTTTAAGAGAAAACTTGACTTATTCTTAAGGTCTAAGGATAACATATTATTATGATTTACCAAATTCTTTTTTCCCTCTATTATCGTTCATATACCTAGGTTCTTGCCTGGAGGTATTGGTGATCCACTGCTACCAGACACGGAATTCCGTTAAGCGAAAGCTTCTTCTATTCCGTCCTCAACCATTTGAACCATTTGAATCAAATATATCTTTCCTGCCTCTTCTCGTCTGACTTCTGATTTCTATCTGACTGGGAACGATCGAACATAGAAGGTGCTACTGGTAACTAGTTGTAAAATTAAAATATCCGTTGCATCCTCAATGTACTCTGGACACAACCGGATAAACAATGTTGATGAGTGACTACACCAAAAACTATATTATGAAGCAAAACAAGATGAATGATCATAATGATTGTGAGCAGCACTATAACAGAGATCAAACTATAATGGTGTCATTGCACAGACCGCTCAAATAGGTTAGTGTACAGAAATATACCCACAGCTATTGACCATCAAATTTTTCCGAAGTACCCGTTGAAAATAAAAGCCACAAGTAGTATCAAATATACAAAAAGTCAATCATTTTAGGAGTTTCCTGTCATAACAATCTAGATGTTTGTGTATATGTAGACGAAAAAGAAGTAGAATTTAGTTTTGATTATGTGCAAAAAACAGCACTATTAAGAAGTATGTAATTCGAAATATACACCATCGGTCATTATGACAGCGTTTGTTTAACCATGTCAATAAGTAATTACTACAACTTTGTTGTTAAGCTAACTTTATGATATCCTTCTAGGTCACGATGTCAGTATTTTTGAGTGAAAAGTTAGGCATTTTCTCTGGAAAAATTATTGATATGAAATGGCATCCTCGCATCTTTATTTTAGCGATCGCATCACATGTTGGAAAACAGTCGGGTGAAGTTGTAATCTCTGCCCTGAAAGTAAATTTATACAAACATTACTGATTATTCAGGTCCCAAACTATGAAGATGCAACCATTACAAGGCCTTGTATTCCCACGTGTATTTCTTGGCATCCTTATGAGTCAATATTATTGGTGGGATGGAATAATGGCTGTATCACTGTTTGTTATTTTTCTGATCATAACGTTTTCGACATGGATTATAAACTAGAAGGGTCTGTGATTTCCGTAGTTTGGACTTTGGATGGCCACTCTGTGTTTGTAACAGACGATAAAGCGTTCGTCTGTGTTTTTGGTTGGCTCAAAAATGGAGACATTGGTACAAAGCCTATATTCACCCTGAATGTCAACACAAATATATCATGTGCTATTATGCTCAGTATTAAGAATTCTGAAGAAATAAATTCATACGTTATGTTTGCACCGTTAAATTCGAGTTCTAGGTAATAAAAAAGGTATATATTTAATACAATTTTTGAGTGAGGGAAATATCTTTGCTGATTCTGCCGTCACTGAAACTCCATATAGATCAAGTAGCAGTTTGAAACTTTTAAGTTCTGAATTCTATCTATTTGGATGTTGCGATGGTAATTAATAACTTACATAAACTTTCAAAGGTCTGCAGGACGTATAATGTACATCAAGTACGATAGATCGAGAGAGAATGACATTTCAGTGAGTCAAGCGAATAAATTGGCATGCTGTGAAGGATATATTTTAAATATACTTTCGCAAAAAAGTACAAAGACTTTGTTGGCTGTCACTGAGAAGGGTCTCTTATATCACTACCATGTCAAGCTAGAATCTGGAATATCAGTCAAGGAGGTAACAAAGGTAAATGGAAACTACTACTTGAGCACTATTGTCTATAATCTATGAACAATTTTAAAAGGTCAGTATGGTTTTAGAAACACTAGCACATCGAGCTTTTTAATCGTTTGTCTACCATCATACAAAATATATTCAGCTCTAACACTCAAGAGTTTCTAAAATCTTGAATCGATCCTAGCTGAGAATATACAGGTCTGTACTGGAAAACTGAGAACTTTAGATTGTTAAATGTTTAACTGAAAACAATCCATGATAAGCATACTCTTTGTTCCTCAAAACATAAAGATCATAACAGTCTATGCTAGTTTATATGCATGCGAAATCATAAAACTTGCCAAATAGTATGGTTTTTAAATGAGGTTCCAGATTATAGCTCTGTTCAAAATTTATTAAGATCAAATGAGTCAACGTCTGTTAGAAATCTTGCATTTTTCTCAGGTTCTGTCGCACCTTGGGTAACAGAATCCTTATTGCAATAATAATATTGAACTATTTGTGCCAGCATATAATTAACAGGTTTAAATTACATTAAACACGATAGTTATTAAAAAAATAGACTTTGTCAGATGAATAAAATATGAATTTACATATGAAAAAAGATTGATATTGGAAAAACGTTCATCATCTTTGTCTTACCATGACCAAATAGAATTTTAAAAGAGATAAAATAACTGAATAGTTTTTGTATAATTGCTGTCCTTAAATAGTTATTGGTTGATTGTTAAAAAATTTGTTGGTTGGATTTAATTTTCGGGTTTGAAACTTATGCTTCGTATATTTTATCCAACTATCCACCATAAGAGAAACGAGTTTAGATAGCAACCTTAAGGTCATCTATCACCCAAGTCACTCAGGCTGGTCATAAAATTATCGATTCGGCCTAGTACAACAAAACATTTTGAAGCTACCTGAAACACTATAAATCAAGAATACAGAATGTTATATGCTACAAATTATCGGTAAATGATATAGAACCTTGCACAAGGACACGATTGTTAAGCCGTTGCACTAAACCAGAGATTTGTAGGAAGATCATTAGGTTAAATATGGATGGATAAATATTGGTAACATCTATGGCAATAAGGTTCAAGGCTTTTGCTTTTAGACAAGGCCCATAGAATCAGTTAATTACTTCGCATGGATTATGTTTGGTTTCAAATCATAATATTTCGCATAAAAAATGATTGTTTTGTTTGTTTGGTGAAAAGTGCACAGGATGTTGTAATTTCACAACGGTTTCAAACTGTATGTTGCTCAGTTATAATTCATTGCATTTGATTATTTGTTTCTGCAATATTGGTAGCTTATTAGGATCACAAAGAGTTGTCATACTTAAGTTTATACAGAATAATAAAATAAATAATAAAGCTTTGTGCTCCAGGTAAAATCAAATGAAAATAGATTGGAAGCACCTATTTTAACATACCTATTGATCAGATCTACCTGCATCTCCTCGAATATTTTGCCGCTATTTTTTGGTTATGAAGAAAGAAATATATTTGTACATCTTTTAGATGAAACTGGCTTCAACAATGTGTAATCAGCCGTTCGTTACATGGGTTGGAGAAACTACTCTTGCCATGGTACTTGGAGAAACAAGTGTCAGACTTTGGGATACCGAAAGAGCCGATAACTATACCTTAGCTCCCAACATGATTATTCCCGAAAGCGGTAAAAATGATCTGAAGGTGATCAATGTTTCTTACTCCGAAACGTATTGTAGGTCGCAAGTTTTACTTGTGTAATATATGTCTGTTCTAAAAACGTATTGTATGATGTTGAGATAGATTTGTACGCACATATAGTTTTTGAGTTACATTGTTGAAGTAAAATTTTGGTTTTGAGTTTAAATAGCTTATATTTAGCTTGATAAAGTAGCGGTAGTACGACTGATACCAATAATAAAATTAAATCAACTGGAATTGTATCATACACAATCCTACAAAAACATTGGTAACATAAGAAAAATAGTTGTGTGGCAATGTTAATTTGCACGGTAAACATCTCGTGAAAAATTTGTACTGTAGAGTAAAGTATGGCCCTAAAAGTCACATATTAGTATCAGAGGATTCTCTCTTATCCATAACCAAGGGTTATTTCCTCTATGAGCGGAATTCATCCTTTTCTCTCAAATCGTATTTTCTGCTACCGTTGACAGTGTTACTATTTTTATTGCTTTGTCATTGATCCTGATAACTTCATCTCGTTGTACTAATATATTGCGACAACGTGGAGGCAATACGCGTATGTGTCAGGTCATATTTTTCTTAGAATTGACCGACTGATTAAGAGTGGAAGGTTGGTTTGCCGTTATTTTATGACAGGTTACGAAAAAAGTATTAATTCGTTTTATTAAAAAGTAATTCAGTGATAAAGAAATTGTTTACAAATATTTGATTACTTTTGTTCTTTATTCTAGCAGGTAAAGTCATACATATTCTAGGAAAACTGCAAAACTGATGAAGATGGATGGTTGCTAGCACTAAAGTCCAGTACGCGCGTTTCGCCCTATTTGAAACTCGTCAGCTAAATGTACCCACATCCCAGAGTTGATGCTTATTCAGGAACTAGGGCTCCGCACGTTTCTCTTAAAATGCCAGTGTTATCCATCTAGCTAATGAGTTCTGGATTCCACTGTTAACCACCATCCTTCTTTATCATAATTTTTGTGACTTAAAGCAATATCGAGGTAATCCACACGGGACGCACATATGCCAAGAAGAGATTGATCAATTGCAGTCCTAAACATCAATGAGAAGATTCAAACAAACAATACAAAAAAGGCTCAATGTGTTGATCTCTTGGATTAACTATACTCAAAGAAATGATACTGTTATTTTTAAAATCAGCCCATTTGTATTGGAATTCCATTTTATGTAGTTTTTGTACAATATTATGCCTAAAATCGAAACTGTCTTTCTGGAATTTATGAAAGGTATCTTGGCCGCAAGTTTTAACAATGGAATGGTGGAATTTTGGCAATATTGTACAGAACTGGAATCACCCAAATATTGGTCTCACGTTCAGAGGTCAAATTTGACATCAAATCAAAATCTCTGTAACTACATAGATGACTGTGGACTTTATAGCTCCACGAACACTTTGGTAGAAAGAACACCGGAAACCAGCTGGTATTCACAACCAAGTACCTTTTGGTTAAACGAGGAAGATGAACCGTTTTCAGTATCCGAAGATTTAAAATCCCACTCACATTTACTAGCCTGGGATTGTCAGCAGGAAAAGTTGGCAATTACTCTCGTACCTCATCAGTCAAAAGAAAAACCGTATGAAAGCCAAAGTAATTTTTAACTTTGTTATTTCTGTCTATTTATCATGTTTTTAATATTATCATTTTTTTGATCCTGTTTAGCTAATATTATATACATTCAGTATATCATACCAACTGAATTTATCTTCTAATGGTAGAAAACAGCAACAACAGCGATTCGTAAAATTACTATTCATCACAAGCAGTTTGAGACAGTCACTTATCTTCACAAAGTTTGGAGTAATTATATCGCCAACTCTTTGGCAAACGTATTCTAGCTTAAACCTACGGCAACTAAGATCATATTTTACTGAATAATTCATTTAAAAGACTGGGATTGGGATCTTTAAACGAATTCACTTAAATCCATAGTACTACAAAGTCCACATAATACATATACCATAAAGTCCCTAGGTTTTGTCAGTCACATAAGTACATCGAACATATCATTTATTTGATAACTAAACTAGTGCTACTTGTTAAAATATAAAACTTTCAGGTACTCAAACCAAGTCTTCTGTATATATACTTCAAAGGCAATCACCACAAACTCATTTCTATGGATATGGATGTGCTGTTGTACAAACCGGTCCAAGATCATTAGCAGTGTTTACCGCAATATCTGAAAAACATGTAAACAAGACAAATCTAAGCTCTTCAGAGAATGTATCGACAATAAACAATATTACTGAAAATAAAACAGGAAATATAAATATGATTAAAGATGAAAATTCCGCAAATTGTCGCGGATCCTTTATAATCAAATCGAAACAACTAGAGAATCGTAAAGATATAAATCAGAATTCCACTGGCTTCATTAGTCAAGACAATTATTCGCTTTGTGAGCACGAGATACAAGTTGAAGATCAAATTAAGGCTGTATATTGCACACAAGTATGTTTAGGGTTATTCTGTACAAAATGTGTAAATTGTGTCACTGATAATCCACACGTTTTTTTCCTTGTACAAAATGGTCATTAATTTAAATTATTCTCGGTCCAAATGGTAAAAAATTAGTTTTGATTTGATGTTTGGTGATGATAATAGCCACTGGCAACCAAGATGTGTCTTCTATATAACTGGAATGTCTACATTGATAGCTCAAAGAATAGTAACAAATATCTTATTGTCTATTACGACGTGAAATGCTATTAGCCAGCCTAACGTCAGTTTCCTGTCAAATATTTCATACCTGACAATTTTTTATTTACTGCTCTTGTTGTACTTTAAGTTATTCCATAATAAAGTCCTCATTAAACCCATCTCTCATCGTTTACTACGTCCAGTCAACCTTTTAATGCCCATTATGTGCTTTTCCAAAAATAATAAAGAACGGATCATTCCGGATATTGTTTTTGGTATGCTTTGATTCCACTATTGATCATGGTAATAAATTAAAAAGATTCGATCTAGCGAGTGTCAATAAGGTGATATTCTTGGAAAAATGTAAATTTTGAACTATTCTTTCTACTTAAGTCACCTGAATGATTTTATTACGGTCGAACATATAAATCCATTATCTCTCCTATAGAATTTCTGGAGAATCTATTACTTGGTTAGAGTTTTTGTATTATTTTGAGTAAACGAAGCTCATTATGACAAAGTCAAGTATATGCTAACAACTGGTATACAATAAAAAGACTTGTTTTTTTTACTAAGGGTAAGACTCATTTTAAGCTGAACATGGCTCATTGATCAACTAAGGGTTTTGTGTTATTTGAATAAATAAAAATCAAGATATTTGAACGTAATTTTTGTAATAGGCTGAAATACTCTGATGAAGCCAAGGAGCACTTAATAGCAGTTTTTTCATCAGTCTTAGGACTTTTCAGAATTGTACATGTATTGTATTTGTGTAATCACATTACTCTTAGATCAGTTAGTCTGATTCGAAAACGAACACAACGTATGACCCATGCTTTTCTTTGATGAGTTTGTAACTTATATTGATTTATCGGGAATATAGGTATTTACTTTTATAAGGTATGGGAACGTGTTGATTTTGTTGGACCTAAGTATGAGGTCAATTTCGACTCACAGTACCAGTTCATAAAATCATCAGCAGTTTATCTGATCTATTATGGTGTAGTTAGATCTAGGTACTTTTGTTAGGGACTTCGACTTCATAATAATCAACCTTTGGAGACTTTGATTAGTAAGGCTCAAAATAGATCACCGACATTTACAAATGTATTCATCATCCTCTTGTATATGTTGATTTATGAACACTATGTCATTTATTTATAACTCGGTTTCACTGGTTCCTTTTGGACTGTATTCTTTATGATTAATTTCTACACACTATGTATTTTACTCATATACTTTTGATATCCGGATATGAATTGTGAAAGCTTGGTCTATGTTGTTCATGACTGATTAGTATTTCTGTATTTGACGAATGTTCCGGTAGTTTACAATGTTATTGATGCTATCTTGAAGTGTTTCTAGCCTTTATCAGTATTTGAAACCAATCTCCACATTTTTGTTTTGCAGTTTAAAATGTTTTAAGACATTAAATGTTGTTTAATGCATATACCGATTCACGAAATTCTTGTTTGGTATTTGCATTCTGAAGATTTGCACCTTTATTCTTCATCAACTGAAAGTTAATAAACAAAATCACTGAATATCCATTTGGGTTTTTTATTATAGGAACATGTTGCATACTGGAATGGTCATCATATTTTTGTCTATAAACAGTCCAGTAAAGGTTACATAACCCACTTAAGTAAGTTTGAAGTATAAAAATCATTTTCCAAAAACAAAATCAATGATTCGAAAAGTGATCAGTTGTTTTTGTAGCTGAGTATACTATTCATGTATATATTAGAGCTACAGTTAAATTTATTCTTGTTTCTCTTTGTTTATTTTAAGATTAAAACAGGAATTAGAAGGGGGTTTTGTGGAGATTTTAGTAATTTTATATAGTTGAAATCATGAGTCAATTGAAGCTAGACCACCATGGAAAACGTGGCTCCATGAGGTATTTCCTGGAGTTCTAGTGAGAAAACAGTGACCAGTGGAGTTCAAACAGGTCTGTTGGGAGATATCAACTCACTGAAGACATCAGTGAATGGTTGCTCAAATTCGTGGTTCGGTTGAAGTTAGATATTAACACCGTTGGATGCGGCTCAGTGCTCTAGTGGTTAAGTGCTCGCGCGCGAGACTGATAGGTTCTGGGTTCAAATTTCGCGAGGTGAGATAGTGAATGCGCACTGCTGAGGAGTCCCACAGTGAGACGAAACGGCCGTCCAGTTCTTCCAGGTTTTCCATGGTTGTCTAACTTCAATTGATTCATGATTTCAACTATTAAAATTACTGTAATATCCACAAAACCCCTTCTGATAATAATTAACTAATAATTGTTAATTAATTTGTAATTATATTTAATAGCTAGTTTCTCTTGTGAATTCAAATTGGTTGGAATGCATCAATATAATCTATTTACAATTGAACCATATAAATTACAAGTTCGTAATTTAGAGTAATTTTTTTTTTTTTGAATTTCAATATAAAAACTTATTTTTATCATATATTAATTAATCACTAAGTGTTATATCCTAGCGAAGACATAAGTACAGGTAACTTCCAGGACCTATTATAGGCTACGTAATAAGTTTTTTTTCTGCACGATCTGCCATCTTCCACGGAAAACACTGTTCTAAAATATGCGGACGACCTCACTGTATGTATGCCGATTTCTACCTCCTTACATCCTATAGAAATGAATGAGTTTTTATCTCGTATTGAAAGGTGGTCTGTTGGTAATGGTCTCTTACTCAATCCATCTAAATGTCAAGCTGTTAACTTTAGCTTGAGACATGGACAGAACCTATACTCTATTTCGGGATCACATAATGCTTGTGCCATTGGAAACTCCTTAATAAACACAGTGTCGAAGGTCAAATATCTTGGTGTCATTTTTTCCTCTGATCTTTCTTGGTCTTCTCATGTTTTACTGTTATCGAAAAAAGTTTACCGTTTGACTTACTACATAAAGAGGCTGCATGCTTTTAGGATTACTCGCCATTTACTCTTACAATTTGTAAATTCCTGCATATTACCTATTATTCTATATTGTTCTCCATTATTCTTTCCCGGGCTTTTGAGAAAAGACTTTGCTGTTTTGCGTAGAGTGCTGAAGGCGGTTTGCAAGGTATGTGGTGAATCTTTTGAAGTCATTATTAATATGTCTGTGGATAGACATCTTAAATCTTGCAAACTCTTGGCAGGTGTCATCTTATCAGATACTAACCATCCACTTCATTCATATCTTTCTTCTTGTATATCTTCTGGTAGAGCGAGACGTAAATACATTAAAATCCATGCACGCAAGCAAGTCTATAAAAGTTCTGTTATACCTTACCTAGTAAATTTACTTTGTGACGAACAGGCTGTTAGAGTTGACCTAGTAAAGAACCTGTATTCCTAAGCATGTCTCAAATTCGATAATTTATATAAACCCAGGGTTTTTTTTTCTTAAACCTTTTTATTCCTTTTCTGTTGTTTTTTTTGTTTTTTTCGTCTGTTTTTCTTGGTAAAAGACTTGTTGAAATAACTCGTGCTGAGAATTCTATATTGTATCAGATTATAATATTGAATAAAGCCATTAATAATAATAATAATCTCGCGAGGCGAGGTCGTGGATACGCATTACTGAGGAGTTCCACAATAGGACGAAACGGCCATCCAGTGCTTCCAGGTTTTTCCTGATGGTCTAGCTTCAACTGACTCACGCTTTCAACTATGTAAATACATTTACAAAATTAATAATATTGTCATTTTATTTAACATAATTTATATAAACTACATGTATTCATTGTTTCTAGGTTGTTAAATTAATTGAATTGTCTTTGTTGCTTGTCAGCCATCAGTAAGTTTTTTTCAAGTATTATCTACGTATGACAATTTTAGATCAAATTGATAAGATTATAAATTACAGAATTCGTTAGAATTAACTTGTAAAATGAGATTCACCAATATCATTGAATATTTAAGTCTGGTAATTATAAACCTTGAAGTAACTTCTTAGTAAATATATTCTATCGAATATAGTTTTACTAATCAAACTTAGGCATTTACTCAATTAAATTGTTCGAAGGATTACTTACTTACTTACTCCTGTTACTCTCAATGGAGCATAGGCCGTCGACCAGCATTCTCCAACCCACTCTGTCCTGGGCCTTCTATTCTAGTTCTATCCATTTTTTGTTCATTCTTCTCATGTCTGTCTCTATTTCACGGCGTAATGTGTTCTTTGGTCTTCCTCTTCTCCTTTGACCAACTCGCTAAAAAAACGCTAACCAGAAAAAATTATTCGAAGGATTATTAAACAGAAATTACTATCACCACCCAGAATATTCTTAAATACATTTTATGTTTTTATTATGAAATATTTTAAGATGGCATGCAACATTAAACGCTGGAGTTATCAGTAGAGGGAATTTTCATTTTTTGCTGTGCAATCTTATCTTATGTAATCCGTTGTTTGTTTCCATTTCCTTTGCCGAAAATATATGAACATGGACTTGAATAATAAAATGAGCGCTGTAACTTCAAATGTGCTATTTATTATGATGTAGTCTTTTGTAAAAGCAGTTCCATGTTACTTATGAATGATACCGTAAAGGTAACCCGACAACCACAAGTTAGAGTCTCATTATATTTACTAACATAAATTGATTTATTTAGCGGCGACAGATTAATCGACTTAATTTACTTGATTTTATACTATAGTCTTCTTAAACTGGTTATATCTCTTATTGAAGTAAACAAAACTTATCCATAATTTAGAATGAGACTAACTAGTTTAGACGAAAACAACCGCCTTTTTTCCGTCGACTGTTCTTTTAATTTCTTTATATAACAGACTATCCTAAATTAGTAAACGTATACTATTGGTGAACAACAGATAGTTCGCATTCTGATAGTATACAGTGAACTTCACATTTTTCAAATGAAGACGGTACGGTTAAGATAATACAGTAGTCTGTTATGTGCAACTATATTTCTGTAGGGTTGAATTAAAGTTAGATAGTGGCTAACGTTAGGATCTAAGATATGCATTTTGTCCTGTTCAGTACTCATAATCTGAGAGTACCTATATTCAAGTTTTTATGATAAATTTTAGCCATTTATATCACAGACATTTCAACAAAACATTTTTAAAAGAATAAGTCGTATGAAAGAACCTTTTAATTATTCGTAAATCTGTAGGTTTAGTTTTAAATTGAGTAGGTATCAGTACCAAGTTTTGATTTGATAATTTTGAATAAACTGAGCATTGGGTAGTTTGTTAAAAATAAATTAACATATTTGTAATATCCCAATGAGTAGAAAAATTAGATTTTCTGACGTTTCGTGACTCAGTGTAAGCCACTTCTTCAGAGAATAAATAACCAAATTCACATCAATCCACGTTTAAATAGTACAACGGAACAATCTAAGAATATTAGTTGATAAATCAAAAAACAGGTCTGAATAAATCAATGTCATGTCATTTCATTTCAGTCAAAGTGATTCATAAGCGACATGTATGTAATTTTGTGTGTATGTATGCAAATTTGTGACCTTTTTAATGACAAAGGATAGAGTTTAATTTGTAATGTACTGGTGTGAAATTGTAAATAAACAGACTAGGTGACTAGGATAGATAGTCCAAGTAGGATGAATGGTAAGACCTTCCTTCCTATTGAGAGTAGTGGGATTAAGCATCATATGGAAAGCTTCAGCTACTTTCCTTTCTTTGTAATTGGAAAAACCTTTCTGTAGTATTTTGATATTTTTGAAATCAATTTGATGATTATTGAAAATGGCGTGAACAGCTATTGCCGAAACGTCAGAATATCTAATTTTTCTACTCATTGGGATATTACAAATATATTAACTTGAATAGTTTTGTTTTCATCTCACATTTGTTTTATTTTTCCTAAATATAGAATGTTACATATTTCACAATTTAGAATGACAATCTGGAATATTGTTCGTTTAAGTAATATCCTCTTATTAACACGTACTACAAGACTAATTGTTCTGTTTCCCTGGACACGGTTAGTTGTTAGTGTTTTAGCTGATCTGCCAAGTAATCTAACCCCCGTTCTTGGAATACTCATATCAGCATTTTACTTTTATGCATTATTGGGAATGAATTTATTCCATGATGTTATTAAATATGACAACTCCACAAATTCGTCAAATACGTGAGTATGAAAATAGTAAAGTCCACTTAAAGTGCTTTTTATTTTGAATACTTATATTTTCTCTGTCGTCATAGCTTTTATTCCATTAACAACCAATCTCCCACCTTCGTTACTGTGTTTCCGGTCATTCCAGTCACAAAATCTCTTATTTACGAAACTAACAAACAGAACATCAGAGAGTTTGACGAGTGGTTACAAACGTTGCATCATTTTAGTTTAAGTGGAATGTGAGACTTCAGCATACCATGAGTATTAAATCTCTTATTGAAAACTTAAATTGATCAACTAAAGAATAAATGACCAATCTATGTATCTTTTATCCTTCGGACTATTTCCTACACCATAAAACGTTGACTTTTGAGTATTTCAAATTTTCATTTATTACTCACCTACATTCAATTCGTAATTCTTATTTTGAACAAAATATATACCGTACTCTTTATTCGATGTATTACATTACGAGCAACACTAAAAGCTAACGAAACGTTTTAAGGCGTTGAGTGAAAAGGAAATTTTGTTTCCCTTTAATATTAATTTGAACAGTTGAATGTCTTCTGATATGACATTTGACATTAGACAACTCATTTAATGGAAATTTTCAAGACTGTGCTTTATTACATATGACCTGGACGGCAGTCGATTAGATTCATGACAAACTTCTTATCTTCATCGTGAATATTTTTCCAGATAAATTCTTCTAATCATTCAAGTAACCGGTAAGCGCTATTTTACCAAATAAAAAGACCGAATCAAATTAAAAAACCTTGATAATATCTTATCCACTATATGTTTCATCAAACGAAAACGTTATCAGCGTACATGTTGTAGTAAAACTTTTGGATTCAGTCCATATATATTTATATAATTGACTGATGGTCACTATTATAAAGATAATTTTAATGTAATTTTTGCACGTCTTGAATGTCAAACAAGAATTGGAGTGACTTTCTGTATCCTTTCATCTAGTTCATAATTTCAAATAATATATATCTGCTGTAGTAAGATTTTATGATGACAATTTTTTAATTCTACCAAGCGATAAAATATTAAAAAAAAGTAATTTTTTTATATCCCAGTACATAAAAACGTAATTTTTACCTATATATATGTGCGTGTGTAATAAAATTGACAGTAGTCTCACCTTGAAAATCAATCCAAAGTATTACATTTCAGTTCATTCATAACACGTTAGGTAACATAGAAAATTATTAAAAGTTAAGTGCTTATACATAATAAATAATAAAAACACAATGTAGAATATTATAAAGCAGTTTGTTTAATCCGTCATTTTAGTCAATAACAATAAAACAGTCATAAATCATTATGTTTAAGATATGTCTACATACATTAATGAATCCTTACCGGTTACCGTATCTATGATATTGATAATATGAAATAATACATTTTGATTTAAACAGATTATTGTGTTTAATTAGCAATATTAATTACTTACTTACGCCTGTTACCCCTCGTGGAGGAACATAGACCGCCCACCAGCATACTCCATTCAACTCTGTCCTGGACAATCCTTCCAAGTTCTTTCCAGTTAACATTCATCCTTTTCATATCTGCTTCTATTATCAAAAATATTAAACTGACTTTGTTAAATATCATGAAATCACCTAGATATCGAAAAGAATATCTGAAATCCTTCTACTCTGAAGAAGAGGCTTATATTAAGTCACGAAATGTCAGAAATACAACTTTTTTACTGATTTGGATACTACGAAAACATATTCATTATTCCAGTTTTCATTTATTTCAGTGAAAATTTCAGTACTTACACAAAACCATTCTCTCTTATACGCTCTTAAAAATATAAGTAAGAAAATTAAATAAATTGGAATCAAATCAGAAGTTGAAATGCTTCAAAATGTATAACTTTACAGATAGACTTACTTACTTACGCCTGTTGCCCCTCGTCGTGGAGCATAGGGCAACCACCAGCATTCTCCTTCCAACCCCGTCCCAAGCAATCCTTTCCAGTTCTTTCCAGTTAACATTTATCCCGTTCACATCTGATTCTATTTCCCGGAGTAATGTGTTCTTTGACCTTACTCTTTTCCACCTCCCTTCCGAATTCCAAGTTAGGGATTGCCTCGTGATGCACAATGGTGATTTCCTTAATGTATGTCCCATCCACTTCCAACGTCTTTTCCTAATTTCCTCTTCAGCTGGAAGCTGGTTTGTCCTCTCCCATAAAACGCTGTTGCTGATAGCATCCGGTCAGTGAACGTTAAGTATTTCGCGTAAACAATATAATACTTACTTACTTACGCCTGTTACTCTCAATGGAGCATAGGCCGTCGACCAGCATTCTCCAACCCACTCTGTCCTGGGCCTTCTATTCTAGTTCTACCCATTTTTTGTTCATTCTTCTCATGTCCGTCTCTATTTCACGGCGTAATGTGTTCTTTGGTCTTCCTCTTCTTCTTTGACCTTCAGGATTCCATGTGAGTGTTTGTCTTGTGACGCAATTAGCTGATTTCCTCAAGGTGTGCCCAATCCACTTCCAGCGCTTCTTCCTGATTTCTCCCTCTGCTGGAATCTGGTTTGTTGTCTCCCACAGTAACTTGTTGCTGATAGTGTTTGGCCATTGGATCCGAAGTATCTTGCGTAGACAGCTGTTAATAGACACTTGTATCTTCTGGATAATGGTTTTCGTAGTTATTCACATCTCCGCCCCATACAGTAAAACTGTCTTCATATTTGTATTGAAAATTCTAACCTTGGTGTTGGTTGACAATTGTTTTGAGCTCCAGATATTTTTCAGTTGTGAATATGCTGCTCTTGCCTTGCCGATCCTCGCCCTCACATCTGCATCTGATCCACCGTGTTCATCAATGATGCTGCCCAGATATGTAAAGGTTTCCACATCCTCCAAAGCTTCTCCGTCAAGTGTAATTTGATTGGTGCATATTGTGTTGTATCGGAGAGTCTTGTTTTTCTCTTTGTTTATGTTGAGACCTACTGCTGCTGAGGCTGTTGCTACACTGGTCGTTTTCTCCTGCATTTGTTGTTGCGTGTGTGATAGAAGAGCCAGATCATCCGCGAAGTCTAAATCGTCAAGCTGCATCCTGCCTGTCCACTGTATCCCGTGATTTCCTCCAGATGTTGACGTCTTCATGATCCAGTCGATTACCAGGAGAAAGAGAAAGGGTGAGAGTAAGCAACCTTGCCTTACACTGGTCTTTACTTCAAACGAGTCGGTGAATTGTCCTCCGTGGACGATTTGGCAGTTTAGTCCATCATAGGAGTTCCGTATGATATTTACTATCTTCTCAGGCACGCCGTAGTGTCGAAGAAGCCTCCATAGCGTCGTCCTGTCCACACTATCAAATGCCTTCTCGTAGTCGATGAAGTTGATGTAGAGTGATGAATTCCATTCGATTGATTGTTCCACAATGATACGTAGATTTGCGATTGGATCTGTGCACGATCTATCCTTACGAAATTCAGCTTGTTGATCTCGAAGTTGGGCGTCCACGGAATCCTTCATCCTGTTTAACAATACTCTGTTGAAGACTTTTCCTGGTATTGAGAGGAGAGTGATGCCCCTGTAGTTGTCGCACTTGCTGAGATCGCCTTTCTTTGGTATCTTGATCAGAAGTCCTTTTTTCCAGTCTGTTGGTACTTGTTCTTCATCCTAAATCTTACTGAAGAGGATGTGTAGTATCTTGGCAGTTGCTGCTACATTTGCTTTCAGTGCCTCTGCCGGGATGTTGTCTGGCCCCGCTGCTTTGCCGCTCTTGATTTATCTAATGGCCATGCTGATCTCTTCAATTGTTGGTGGGCCGACATCGATTGGGAGGTCTGTGGGTGCTGCTTCGATGTTGGGTGGGTTCAGTGGAGCTGGTCGATTCAAGAGTTCTTTGAAGTATTCTACCCACCTGTTTCGTTGTTCTTCAATATCGGTGATTACTTTGCCTTACTTGCATTTCACTGGTCTTTCTGGCTTACGGTAATTTCCAGCAAATTTCTTTGTTGTATCATACAGTTGTCTCATGTTTCCCTCTCTTGCAGCCCTTTCCGCTGTCATCGCTAAATCTTCCACATATTTACGTTTGTCGGTTCTGATGCTCCTCTTCACTTGGTTGTTTGCCTCTGTGTATTCGGCTTGTGCCTTGGCTTTTTCCGCTCTGGTTCGGCTGATATTGATTGCTGCCTTCTTGTTTCTTCTTTCTTCAATTTTATCCAGTGTACCAACAGTGATCCATTCCTTGTGATGTTGCTTCTTGTGGCCTAGAACCTCCTGACATGTTGAAACGATTGCCTCCTTGATACCTTTCCAGTTGCTCTCCATGGTAGTCCCCTCTCCATTGAGTAGATCATGAAAGGCCTGGAACCGGTTGCTGAGAGCTATGTCGAATTTGTTGAGTTTGTCAGCATCTCGAAGAAAGGCAGTATTAAACTTTTGTGATGTTGTCCGCACCGCTGTCCACTGCTTCTTGAGTTTTAGCTTGATCTTGGCGACCAGCAAATGATGATCGGATGCTATATCAGCTCCTCTTCTGGTTCTCACATCCTCCATCGTCCTCCTGAACTTTTTGTTGATGCAGATATGGTCGATTTGATTCTGTGTAGTGTGATCCGGTGAAATCCAAGTGACTTTGTGTATGTTTTTATGTGGAAATATGGTGCCACCTATGACCAGTTTATTGAAAGCACATAGGTTTGCAAATCTCTCACCATTTTTCGTTCCTTTCTCCCAGTCCATGTTGTCCCATGACGTCTTCGTATCCAGTGTTGCCTTTCCAACCTTGGCATTGAAATCTCCCATCAGAATAGTCAGGTCCTTGGAGTAACACAGAAGTTCTCCTGAAGACAGTCGTTGGTGTCTAACCTGCGTCCAATGTGTTTCGCTGATTCCAAGAACCTCCAGGTTGTATTTTCTCATTTCTGCAGCGATTTGGAAGACTCTCCCGGCCTCCCACATTATCCGAACATTCCATGTACCTATATAAATTGTCGCTCTGGTTGTAAGAAGGTGCATCGGCCTCATGACTTCCGAAGGAACTCGGCTTTCATCATGAGACGTCATAATTATTCCTTCTACTTCCAGGCAGAGTTTGAATGGTTTGAATGATTTTTTCTGGTTAGTGTTTTTTTAGCGAGTTGATTTTCTACGGGGTGGGGTCGCTAACCCCATGCCCAACCCTCCTCCTTTACCCGGGCTTGGGACCGGCAGTAACCCCCAGAGGAGCTACAGGCGGAGTTAATATAATAGTAACAAATAAAATTTGATTTTTTTTCTAATCTGTTTGTCATATATCTTTGAAAACATATAAAATTTAAAAAAGTGATAAACGATTATCCGAAGAATTTTATGAAAAGAATGATTTAGAGCGAAATAGAAAACTGCAATAATAATGAAAAAGGATTTAAGAAAAAGGACTGGGTTAATACAGTGGTGATCCCATATCGTAAAGGCATTTCAGAAGACATTAGAAGAATCCTGAATATTCAAAATATAAGAGTTTTTTTCGAAAAAACAATACTCTAACATCAAAACTAGTAAGAAGTAAAGATCCAATACACAAAGAAGAACAACAGAATTGTGTCTGTTACACTAGATGTATTGACTGTAATGCAACGTATGTAGATGAAACATCAAGGCAACTGAATGTGAGGGTGAAGGAACACAAACAATGCTTGAAGCACATTCCTAAGTCCTCAGATGATGTAAGGAAACTTGAGAACAAGTCAGCGATAGCATTATACTTGATAGAATCGGGTCATACAATTGATTTCGACAGCACAAGAATCCTCCAAAAAGCTTTTGATTCTTACAAGGACAGACAAACAGCTGAAGCCCTATACATATGGGCTAATCCCAACAATTTTTAATAGGAGAGATGGAATACAATTAGTTGTGCCATGGCAGCTAAAAATTAATAGGTAAAAACTTGAACTCCTTTCCGTTTTATCTATTTCGTATTATCTGAGTGACAATTACATTCAATGATTCTAATCAGTTGTTTTATCGGAATTCTAGGATATTAAGGATTTCAATTGTGACGATCTAATTGAAAACAATTGTTCGCTTACATGTGTTGTTCTAATTATCGGAATTCGTTCAACAGTTAATTGGAACATTAAAATAACACAAGTATTCAGTTTCAAATTACATCCGTCCTCTTCGAATTCATTCTTTTATTTTGTTTATTTAACTTCATTTTATGCATGCTGTGACATATATCATTCATATCATATATTAAAAATTGTATGTTTTCTTAAAAATTCACCGATAAGAGACAATATGTAGTGTGAATGAAATTTCTCCTCTCTTCACTTACGTTTTCTATACAATGTGTTATATTAACGCTTATCATTTCACATCACAAGTCTCTTACACACTAATACATTTACTTAGTTTAGACATTTTTAATGTTGATTGGATGACCTATTCAGTGTACAATGAAACGAAGATCCATGTACCTATTCATATTCGATAATTTTGATGTATGATTATAATTCCTTGAAAAAGCTAGGATCAGATTGCCAGGCGAAACGTTGAATTTACTTCAAATTCATTCGCTGAGATTTTACAAATATATTCTTCCTGTTTAGTGAAACTTGGTGTTTATGAATAGTTATAGCTTTCAAAATTATTCTACTGTTTTCCAGGAATTCCAGGAATCTACTTTTTCTTTCTTAGAATCATCTTATTTATATCTAATATTTTCTATTATTGATGATATTGTTATGAACTGAGCATTTATCGAGATAATTTTATCTTTCTGTTTTCATTGTGGTTTAACAACTTTAACTGATGTACAAATATATTAGGTTCGACTCTGAATGTAACTGACTGACTGATAATGTTTTTAAATAAACGTATAAAAAACAACACTTCATCCATAGATCATTTCAGTTTTATAACTCTTAACTTTGTTTTGCAGGTATTCAATTCATATGAACTTCAAACAACTTGAATTAAGATAGATTTTGAAATAGTATTGATGAATTGAGGATTATCTAGTGGTTTTATGATTTTTTGCAAAATTTCAACATTATTCTGCATGAGATTTACCTAGATACTACTTCATATAACAGATATAACATTCAAATGAATGAAAGCGGAATCATATGGGATTGTAACAAGTATTAATGGAAGTTTAGTTTTACTTCGAATATATCTGTATATAACGAGAGAAATCTAATGTGAATTAAATAGTGTATGTAAAAAACTACTTTGGATACAAGATTTCTATGCTTTTAAAATTGGTTTTCATCATGAACTGGGGTCAGTTGACCAGTAATTATGAACTATTAAGCTCTTGAAGACGGTTTTGGGTAGTGTATGTTCACGCAGTTTTTGCTTCTTTCCTAATCAAATCATGATTTTTGTAATTAATGTAGTCAGAAATATTATAAAGTGATTTAGAAAAGCATTCTTGAAAGCAATACATTGATAACACATTTTTCTATTGACTTCATGTTAGACAAATCTATCAATGTGGGACTTACCAGGAATTGCAATACTGGTCTATACATTTTAATGACTTCGCTGTAAGTAACTTTAAAATTTGTTATTTTTAGTTTTCTTTTGCCCGAAATCATTCAGACTATTTCAGTCTTTATTGTTTTGATTCTCTGCCTGCATACTTTCATACGTATGGTATTAGAATTACTCAGTTTATTTTGATAGTTTAAGACTAATTCCATGGAATTATGATGCTAATTGTGGATTAGTAGAAAATGATTATCAATTCAGTGACTTAAAATTGCTTTATTCACTGTGCATTCTGTTAGTTTTAGTACTCATGTTCCTTGAGATGTGAGTTCACTGAAGACTCTCTTACTATCACAAAAAAATTTCTCCATTCCCATTCTTTAACTGGCATAGGATTTTTATAAAGACCACATTTAAGTAATTTAGTTATCACGTAATGAATAGAAATAGCATCTATAGTCTACAAAGTACACAAAGTATGTACTTGAAGTTTACATTTCAGTAAATTCATCTTGTTACTGGGAAATGGTGAATTTTGTATAAGATTCAGTACATATATATGTACATATTTACTCAAAGATAGGTAGATAAATGAAGAACTTCTACCCAATTTTCCATATCTAAATTTTTGGATGTCAGTTAATCTGTAGCTTTGTGTTAACCAATAATGTATATTAAGAAGGGGGGTTTTGTGGAGATCTTAGCAATTTTATAGTTGAAATCATGGATCAATTGAAGCTCAAAATCCAGACCACTGAGCCGGCGTCCAACAGTGTTATTGTTTAACTTCAATCAATCCATGAAATTGAGCAACCGTCCATCATTGTCTTCAGTGAGTATAAAATCGGAAATGAAATTAATTCAATGAGAATACTTATCATATTTTCTAGTTCCTTATACTTTATCAACGACTCATTAGTGACATATTTTATGAAGAAAATAAGTCCAGTGTTTTGTTACAGTTTGATTAAAAACGTTTGTAGAATTCTCAAGTAAAATCGGATATCATGGTGAAATGAAAAAATTCACAATTATATGATGGGAATTTTTCAGCGAATGAAAAATTTATCAAAACAATTTCTGTTATTCAAATCTAATCTTTTAGAATATAGGGCGAAAATAAAAAAGTAACGTTTTAATAGAACTGATCGGTATTTCTTTAAAAGAATGAATAATAATTAATGTATCACTTATTCTTATTCTTTTCAAGCATGTTTTTCTAAAATGTGCACCATAAAAATTCGATTAGATCAGATGAAAAATTTTAATTTTTCTAATATTCATGACAGATTTCTTATTTAAAACTAACTATTTACTATAAATGATGATAACTGATACGTAAGCACCGCCCGAACTGACACGCAATGATTGGTGGCTTAAGCTTATGTTGTAAGAAATTCGGCGGCTACCAAACCAGTAACGTGACATTAGTCCATAAATTCACTGACCGTTAAAATAAACCATGTTTTTAGGCGTTGATTACAGTTTCACAGTCTCGTAAATTAGTGAGATTAATCGTCGGAGACATGTGATGATGTGGCTGGGAATTGGTTGAAATTGCAAAGATCCATTCATTTCTTTTGTCATCCTTTAGGTCTTGAGCTTTTTAAATCATTCCATAATAATTTCTATTCTGTAACTTTTACTGATTGACTAAACTAGTGAATATCTATAGTTGTATAATTAGAATTGTGAAAAATTGTTCACATGAACCATATAATAACTATTATCTCTTTCTTCATTTATTTATTATTTGGATTATTCTCAGAGTGTGTCAGTTAGTACTTGATATAGAATGAATTATATTACCATGAACACATTGAAAAATAACCACTACTATTGTTCGTTTGTTTTTGTTGATACAATTCTTATGTAGGCCAGTAAATATATACCGTTTATTCATCGTAAAACAGAATTATCTAGGAGCTCTATTGAGAAGCAGTGACCAGTGGAGTTCAAAACCACGTCTGTTGTGAGATAGGAACTCACTGAAGACAATTGGTGAATGGTTGCTCAACTTCGTGGATCAGTTGAAGTTAGACATTAACACCGTTGGATGCCAGCTCAGTGGTCTATCGGTTAAGGGCTTCGGCTTGAGACTGGTAGGTCCTGGGTTCGAATCTCGCTCGCGAGAGCAGGTTCGTGGATGCGCACTGCTGAGGAGTCCCATAATAGGACGAAACGGCCGTCCAGTGTTTCCAGGTTTTCCATGGTGGTCTAGCTTCAATTGACTCACGCTTTCAACAATGATAAATACTAAATCTCCACAAAACCCCTTCTATAATTAATATTAGAGAATTGACAATATTTAAAGCAATTCATAAGTAAAATAAGATATGATATTGATTTCGTTAGTTACTCGCAGAATACACATCAAACTTCTTAAGTTTATTTTTATTTAATGGCGATCGAGAGTTAATTATTTCTTTTCAATGATGAAAAGTAAGATCTATATTTTATCAACACTGATATTATAATAGTACCTTGAAATGTACGACATTATGATAACAGTACTGTACAGTATTTTGTCAATTTTCATTTGTATTCCTTTTATTTTAATCGTTTAAAGATCCCCATCATATTAAAAGACTAATATTTGGACGAAGAATATTCTTTTCGATAAATTCTCCTTTTAGGTTCTACAATTATATAGTTCAAATTAATAATCCGAAAAGAAATAGCCAGGTTAAGGGCAAAGTACATCGTTTAAAGCATGTAAATTTAGGAATGTCAAACCAAATCTTTGTATTTTATTATTATTATCATTGGTTAAACATCATTATTAATCTCCCCTATACATGATTCATTCACTTCGCATTGATCCCTCCTTATTACGTCTTACTAATTTTTCACACAATTTAATCTTCCACTAGATCGAATTGTGATCATATCTCTCTCACCCTATCTGACCCATATTTATTCTGATCACAGATCTTAAATTTTCACTTAACATATATACAGATTCAAGTTAACATTCTATATGAGTCATATCAACATTAACAATTTAATTCTACTTGGTTTGACAATCCTAAATTTACACGCTTTAAATGATGTACTTTGCCCTTAACCTGGCTATTTCTTTTCGGATTATTAATTTGAATATATAATTGTAGAACCTGAAGAGAATTTATCGAAAAGAATATTTTTCGTTCAAATATCAGTACTTTTATTTATACATGTTTTGTAATGTATGTTAGTAAAAAAGAAAAATGAATGGAAGCTAAACCTAATCTGTATTATAAGCAAAGATGGATAGTGGCTAGCAGTGGAATCCAGGACGCGCGTTTAGTCCTATTTGAGACTAGTCAGCTGGATGTACCTGCATCTCAGAGTTGATGTTCACTCTGGGACTCAAACCCAGTAACTTTCGCTTCAAACGCCATCGCGTTATCCACTCGGCCACTGAGTCCTGACAGCCACTTGCTTGTGCAATGAGGTGAAGTTTAAATTCACTTAGTATTGTTTGTTTGGATCTTCCCATTGGCTGCAACTTGTCAGTCTCTAATTGACATATGTGGGGATGGTTGGAAGAGAGTTAGGGGCGGCCAAACCAAAACATGGCATCAGTGTTTGAAGTCACTAACTTCTAGCCTGAGCCATGTTGGCAGATGCAGACTACCTGGTTGGGGTCCGCGTGACTATCGTAACCAATGGTTGGAGACTCTAGGTGACATGGCTCAGAATCGATCACAATGGCGTAGGTGTATACACTCTTTATCTTCCCTTAAACTATGAGATTAAAATTGCTTCATATCTCTCTTCCTTATATACAACCTTTCTTTATATACTACCATTACTAAATTAATTACTTCTATGAATCCGGTGTTCATCTTGTTGTGCTAACGAGGTATGGCAACTTGGACCGATGCATATATGTGCCTGGTCCTACGTTGTAGCTGACTGACTGACTGACTGACATATGTGCATATTGTGCGTATTGCCTCAATATAGCCTTAATTCACAAGCATTATAAGCAAAGATGGATAGTGGCTGGCAGTGGAATCCAGGACGCGCGTTTCGTATTACTTTCTTTATTACTTTGTTTGTAATCTGATTGAAGAGAAACTGATATTATATGAATTTTTAATTGACATTTCACTGATAACTAATTTACATATGAAATTCACTTGGTGTTGTTTTACTTGTATCTTCCCATTGTTATTTAAGATTACAATTTACATATTTATTAAATTTGTTCCTCTTATTTTCATTTCACATAATCACTAGAAAATGCAGTTTCATTTAACTCATTATTGTTTTAATTATTTTAAGGCTAGCCTTGTACTTTTATGGGATTTAATGGTAGTCAATAATTGGCAAATAATTGTGTTCGCATATCAACAAGCTGTTAACAGGTAACTAAAACATTTTTAATATCTATCAATTATTCATTGTTCTTACAAATGTAATCTTGTTTTAATTTGAATTAGTCTTTACAGAAATGTTTACATAGTTTATTTTCACTGGTCGTTTAAATCTTTTCATTGGTGTTGAAGACTACTATTGATCAGTCTCTTTTTGGCAAATAAGCCCATGTAGGGAGTTCCAAATTAGACGAAAAGTGCTTTCCGGATTCCATTGCTAGCCAACATCCACCCCTACTTATAATGTTTATATAATTTAGAAATACTTTTAACTTGATTTGATGATGCCATTCGGAGAGCCATTGATCAGCTCATCGATTTGCATTCATTTGTATTAGTTGTTATTTAAAGTTTTTTGCAATGTTGATACCGTTAGATGGAAGAGCTTTATGATAAATATTTTAATTTTTAGGTGACAGTTTTACATATTGACGTTTGTTGTGATACCACTGCAAAACATGGAGCAATAGACAGCTCCTTCACTCTGATTTGTGACTTTTTATTAGCTCGTAACCATAATCGCATCAAGGGTCAAAAAGTCAAGTCTCTTGATGAATTATTAAACATTAGAATTACTATTTGTTCGGGATCCGACAGTGCACTTTTTTGACGTCAGTCAATTTGCGATATAACTCAAGAATTACTTAATACCAATAGCGGAATAAATTTTCCTCTGGATATATTTAAACCTCACTGCTCATAACTTCTCACTATAAATTTAGTAACTCTCTTTAAAGTAGATCACTAGTAACCACACAATTATAGTTTTTAAAAAGAAGTTTTATGGAAATTCATCATTGAATAAACTTAGTGCAGAGTAACCCCATAATATAAAACAAAACAACTATTCAGTGCTTCCTATCACTAAACGGTATACCGATTGAGATCAGTCTCTGATCAATATCACTTATATTAAAATCTTGTTAAGTAATTCAAATGAAGTCGACTGCTCATACATTACTAAATGGTTCAATAATTAAGTTAATTCTTATACAAGTCATCTTGGCTACATGGTTCAATGAATTTTTAACTAATCTTAATATGGTAATTTATGTTATCACTAATGTATACTTTAATTTATTTTGTTTGTGCTATTCAATCTATGCATAGTATAGAATACTTACTTCTTAATTAATGAATCTAGTATAAGTTCTTTCTTTAAAAAAAATGAACATTTAATTTTATCATGTGTTTTCACCAACGACCTTTAACTATCCTTTTTGCGCACTTTTAAAATTAACTGTAATTAACTTATATCCTCTTCTAATTAAATCTTAAATTTTATAAAGAACATGAAGAAAAAGAAATAAGCTTTTAAACACAATACGTTATCCATTGTGTTAATAGAGAACAAGTTTGCATAGGGACAAATGTTCTGTCAATAGAATCATAATTTATTCATTTTGATAAGCGAAAAAATGTGTGAAATAAAAATGTTTCTTATCAGAAAGAGTTTTTGTGGAGATTTCAGTATTTTCATAATTGAGATCATGGTCAACTGAGACTAGACCACCAAGGAAAACCTGAAAGCACTGGACGGCCGTTTCGTCCTATTGTGGACATTCCAGCAGTGCGCCAGGCGAGATCGTGGATGTACACTGCTGAGGAGTCTCACATTAGGACTAAACGGCCATCCAGTGCTTCCAGGTTTTCTTCGGTGGTCTGGCTTCAATTGACTCATGATCTCAAAAATATTTCTATTTTTATTTCTAAGTAGCTAATTTTTTGTTTTGGAAAAATTCATGAAGTTTACAGACCAATGAATATTTGCTTCTTTGTAATTTCAGACTACTGAATGTAAAACTGTTAATATTATTATCGAAGACTGTTAGGCTCATTTATGTATGTTTTACTACATTGACATTTGGATACCATTTTTGACTTAATATTTTCGGGGTATATTTGAAATGTAATTTATATCATTCTACTGTTCAAATAATAGTCTCCTTCAAAATTAAATTCTATTTTTCTTAGTGGAGGCAAGTGTTTTTCCTTTGAGTTATAATGTGATTAAAGATCATTGTGTTTACTACAAGAAGCTATTTACTTTCACTCAAATTATTTTGAATCTAGCATGATCACATTTAGACTTGTCAACTCTGGAGATGAACCTGTTTTCTTTTTTGCTACTTGATTATAATCCATTGTTGGACATTATACAACTTCGTTTAGTCTCTAACATAGTAGAATCGTATTTCCTCTTTCGAACCATTTTTTGTGTGGTAGAATGAGTTTATTTCACAGTTTTTAACTACTCTCTTTAAAACGTTATTTCGACATTATTACGTTTATAATGCTTTGTTACATAGAAGCTGTAATCTACATTTCATTGTAATGGGCTGCTAACAGGCATAGGCTTACTTATTGAAGATTCACTTGGTCAGTGATATTTTTTTTAAAAAAGGTTGCTGAGTTTTAAAATATTATATACCTTGTTTATTTTGTAATTAGATGGGTTCATATTTATATGATTAGTTGGTGGCTATTTGTTGTCGTTGGGATACTCAATTTAACTACTGCGTTCATCATCGAGGTAAGTATTTATTTGCTAAACAATAATAGCTTGTCTATCTTAAATATTTTTTATGTTGAGCACTTACCAGTATGCTTTTTTGAAGGCAGTTTGCGAACACAACAGACAATTTTTAACGTTACACTGTACACCTTAGTACTTATCTTGCTATGAATTACGATTTAGCAAACGAGCGATTTGTGAATTGTTGAAAGGAATAAACAGAATCTCGATCGGTGAAAAATATCCCGCGATACGATGTGGCCAATCGATGGCTACGCTCGAGATTAAAGTATTGACGTATTCTACCAATTCTACTGATATCAGAAAACAAGGTAACTACATAGTATACCGGATTTTCTCTTCTAACAAAGTAACACATATATATACAAAATACTGAACATGTAACTAACTGCATTTTCTAATTTTTTCCATGACCATGAGTGTTTTTGTTTCAATCTATGCTCTTCCTATCTCTAAATAAAATAATTTTTCAATCTTATAATGATGGAAAGGTATTTTAGAAACAAAAAAACATTACTCACTATTCAAAAAACGAGTTGAAAAATAACCAACAGTCAGGTTATTTGATTAAGCCAAAACAACAATTGAGGCAGAACAATATTAGCTCATTTATGTTTCATAGTTTCTTATCAGCTACTTACAACTGTATATGGTATCCAAATTTAACATTGAGGTATGATATAGTGTGAAACAAATAACATTGATAACAAAGATTATCAGTAATAGTTATATACATATATCTATGTAAGAATAAATCGGAGGTCATTTGGGGATGAAATTTAAAAACAAGAGGTAAGTGAAGCAGAAATTACATGCAGTCTGGAAACATAATGGATGAAGTGTGTGATAATAATAGAAGTTGTGAAGAGTTTATATAAGATTCAAATCACTTGAAAATAGATATGAGAGACATTTAGTTATGAGTTAGTAGTTGTCTAGCATTAGAAGTTTATAAGATGCGTTACGTAATAATTAATCGGGATTTGAAGAATTTACATAAGTTTGGAAAATTAAGTGAATGAAAAAACTGATGGCTGAAGTGATGATTTCGGTGTACATGAAATAAGAATTAGTTTGACGAAGATCACTTGATAAAATAAGCACTTGTAAAATAATAATAATGATGACAATATCAAAAATAATAATAATAATTTACCAAGGTCGTGATAAGTTGATTACTGTCTCTTTCCGGGCCCATAAATTAGGTTCCAGTTTTCCTATTGCTACTGCTTCGGTAAACCGGAGAGATGATGCATTTTCTTATCTGCCGTTAATTTTGAAGGACTGTGGAATTTCAGTGCTATGTCCGGTATCAGTTAAATTCTGTGCTATTGCACTAGTTAGAGCCGTTGCGCCTCTCAAACTTAAATTCTTTGAAGCGTACTCGGGAACGCGAACCTGTACTCTTCTCTCTTCTAATGTATGTGCTTTGGTACTTGCATGTAAATTGACAAATACAGTTGAAGATACTAAGAAAGTAGGACGTTTCAACTTTTGTTTGTTTGGGTGAGCAGTTCGTTTCGCATAACGTCTCCAGTATTACTGATGGAAAGGCAGCCTTTATCAAGTCATTTATTCTGTGGTTATTTATTCCAGTGATTTCATCTCTTCTAAAGAGCAACAGGTTTCCAGTTCCACTGTATCATGTTAAGCACGTACGTTGGTTTTGGCATATTTTTCCACGAACTTCTCTGGATATGCATTTTCACGCAGGAAAATTGTAGTAATGGCAAGTTCTTCTTTCAGGCTTACATTTGAGCAAAGTTTACGAGCGTGGTTAAGTTGTCTACGGTAATTCATTACAACAAAAAACATTATTTCTTACTTCATTTATTCGACGTTTTATTTTTCGTAGGGAACAGGTTTTCAGTTTAATTTGAGTTACTTGAAGAGTTTTGATCCCATCTTCTGGATAACGAGTGTTCTTTGGTACTAATGTATCACTTAATTTAAACTAGTAAAGATGATTTTAGATCTAATCCGAGAGCATTTTTGATCAGCATCGATAATATTGTTTTTGTCTAGAATCAATTTTTGGAATAAAGTAAAAGAATTCTTTCACATGGTGGATATTCGAACAAGCCACACCGATATCAAAATGTTGTAGCTAATACAATAAAGCCATAAAACAAAATATGAACTACATTCTGCGAAATGACTACTTCAAGATAACTTTCCTTCCTCGTTGACATTGTTACCAAATTGTATTGATCGTTTTTGCTATTTATCTATTTGAGTCCATCTTGTCATGCTATTATGGTATAGCAACTTGAACTAGCGTACATCTAAGCCGGGCTATAAGTTAATGATGGTCAACTGATTAGCTTATCAAGACTGAAACGATTAATTGCTATAGAATTATCCTATTCATGTTATGTTAGCTGAGATTAACTATATTCATTGTTTTAGATTCAGAAAGAACCATATTTTCATATTAATTAATGAGTTATTCACTGACAGAATTCAGCTAATAACTTTTGTAACCAATTTTTCTCCAGCAGTTTCATTATCATTTAGGAGTCTGTCAACTATTTGTACATCATTTACATTCATTAATTAAATGCTGCTTGTTTTTTGTTTAATGATATGAAATATTATTTTACCATAACTGATTATTTTGAAAATTTTTTGAAACTTTTATTCAGTCATTTTTACATCGACGTGATTTACAACCGGATATATCAGCGTTTCAGAATCAACCACTTGAAGTAATGAGAAATACTACCACTAATTTTCAGGAATCTCTTGGACATTCTTCAAATCAGGCTTGTTCTTCTCATCATCATAATGTTGAAAGTGATGAAGATGAAGCATCGAAATATAAATCAACGCATTTATTAGTATCATCATTATCTTTTCTCAGAAGACGATCATCTACTGAGATGATTCCCATAACGTTGGATGAAATATTCCGGTTTGTTTTCATTTTATTGCAAATTCTATCTAGTATATTCATTTTGGCCAAGTTTTTTTAAATTTATTATCAGTAGAGCTATAACTAGCAGACAAACCGAGTACTCACTTTTTATCGCATTCGGGACATTTCAGGTAAATGCATCTTCACCCCAGTGTTGATGTTCATCCTAAGATTCAAACCATTGAATTTGACGCTTCAAGCATTAACTCAGTATTCACTCAGCTATTGAGTGAGAATATCCATTATCTTTTTCAACGGGTATACATTTATTTAGAAGGGTTGCTTACATCCCTGACTTAATATTAAGGATTGTAGTTGATTATATTGCTGGCGACAACACAGCTTTATTAAAACTTGTAACTCAATGACAAAATCGAGACAATCTGATCCATATGCACATGTGTCAATAAAGACTGATCATTTGCAGTCGTTAATATCAACAACTAAAAAATATGGATTCTTGAAAATAAAGCTTTATGATATGTTGGTCGACTTTTGTAAAAGTGAACTATTCTGAAAAAGATTAAGTAGAATGAGAAATAAAACTGTAATTAATAAATATTCATTTACTTTCAGGTATTAACTAAAATACTACTTGAATTTGTTTATTGGTGTTCATATTCGACTATGATATTCGTCTAAAAAGTATAATCGTCATAAATCACCTTTCTATGTCAATATATATCTCTAATATATATTTATATAATGCAAATCAGTGGTACTAGGATCTTTTTTTATTACAGTATCATAGTCCACTCATCATATACAGAGTTACAGCAGTTATCAATTTCATAATTAAATTATAAGTTGGTTGATTACAACTGTGATACTAAGAATAATACAATTCAAATTCATTTAGTATTGTTTGTTTGAATCTTCCCATCGATGTGTTAGGACTGCAAGTGGTCAGTCTCTAATTGACATATGTGCATACTGTGCGTATTGCCTCAATATAGCCTTAATTCACAAGCATGGTACTCAGAGATGGATAGTGGCTAGCAGTGGAATCCAGCTGATGAGTCCCAAATAGTACGAAACGCGCGTCCTGGATTCCACTGCTAGCCACTATCCATCTATGCTTACCATACAATTCAAATGTACATTTCAGCGTAAATTAAGTTTAGTATAAAACCTTACAAGAGTTAAAGATGTAATTAATTCATTAGTACAATATTTGATTAGTTTTGAGTCGTTATACCTGTTGAACTACTGTTTGCTACCTACTAGGTTGTATTCTTTATATGAAGTCTCTTTATTATAACTATAATCAGACCAGTTAAATATTATTTTCATGCATATATTTATTCATAAAAATAAGTTAGAAATATTGAAACTCTGCATACATGATGCTTTACTAATTTTATTTTTAAATTCATTACATTATGTTTTAAAATATACCGAAAAACGGATTAGTTTCCATGTGGATTAAATTTAAATTTAATTATTTGTTAAATGAAGCTTTTAATAATGACCAAGTTTTTTTGCTACTATGTTGATAGTAAGAACACAGTCTAGCACATTTAGTGTTAACATTACTTAGAGTGTTATTTATCATGAAGATAATTTAAATATCAATCATAATTGCTAAAACACAATGATAACAATTTGAATCATGAAATGATGTTAACCACTGAGTCATGGAAAATCAGGAAACATTGAATAGTTATTTCGTTCTACTTTCAAACTCTTTGATAGTGTAAATCTATGATGATTAGAAGTATTAAAATAATGAACTAACTAGGAATTATCGAAACTGTGTAATTCAAACTAGACAGAGCTAGATAAACACAAACGGACGTACTGTATTTGAAATTTGCAATATGCGGGTAATCAAGTAAAAAGGAATCATCAGTTCGTACAAATATCACAAAAATCTCAAACTTAATTCATGACTGAATCATGAAAACTCATTTTTTATTATTCTACAGACCATATTGAAAATCTGTATAAAACAATCTATTTTACCTCAAATATTACTTACTTTGCAAAATGATTTAGATTAGGTCGTTCAAATATTGATAAAGAACTATAATACATATAATCTCTTTTCCATTATTTGATACATATGATAGCAATGTTATAAAGGTGATACAAACTTGTATCAAGTTCATTAGCAATTGTGTTTAAACTAACAAGCAAGAATGATCTATTTGCCAATCTTTTTCTTTTCTCCTGATCATATGTTTATTTGTTTGATTTATTGCAGCTGTAAACTCAAAGAACCATCAGAAGAGTCCATTATTGCTGAAATATATTCCCACCCACATTTTCGAAACTTTGTAGCATTATGAATAATTTGTATAATAATAACAACAAACATCGTTATAACAGTATTATTGGGATACCTAAATAAACAGACCCTGAGATTTATGTTAAATATTTTTGGTATTTTAAGTAACATTAAACCTATATAATCCTGCTTATTCTCATTATTAACAATTAACACTGACTCTATGACCAATAAAATGAAACTCTATATTATGTATCACATAAAGTTTAAACATTACTCAGGAATATTTACCTTACGTATGTGAATACCAATAAATTACTTTATAGATGTGAGTTTACTTTACTTATCCAGTAAGTCTATTAGTTAGTTCAATGTATAATAGAGGGAACAAAATAAAGTGAAATAACCAATAATTTTAATAGATGTTAGTTACAAATAAAGTTATTGAATTCATACATTTATGATATCATTCCAAGTTGGAATAAGAAACTATGTACTCATAATGTTCACTATGTACTCTCAACAGTTGTATTTTGTTGGAGATTTATTGTTATGAACTAAATGCATATATATAAACTAATGAATCCTCCAACATTCTAGTATAAAGTTTGATTTCCTTCATTGCATCTGACCTGTTTCCCTACATGTGCGATACTTATGGGATTGTAGATAATAAATTCTCGCTATCGTAAATTCCAAACAAAGGAGTACAGTCTTCATAAAGTACTTAGTTACACCCGCTACCTTTATGGAGGAGCACAGGCCACCAACCAGCACACTCCATCCAACTCTATCATGAGCAATCCTTTCCAGTTCTCTCCACTTGTTGTTCATCATTTTTATATCTGCTTTTATCTCCCGACGTAATGTGCTCTTTGGCCTTCCACTTTTCCGCTTCCCTTCACAATTACAAGTTAGCGCTTGCCTCGTGATGCAGTTTGGTGATTTCCTCAGTGTATGTCCTATCCACTTCCAACATCTTTTCACAATTTCCTCCTCAACTGGAAGCTGGTTTTTCCTCTGCCACAGAAGGCTGTTGTTGATGATATCCGGTCAGTGAATGTTGAGTATCATGCGTAGACAACTGTTGATAAATACTTGTACCTTTTTGATGACGGTTGTAGTAGTTCTCCACATTTCAGCTCTGTACAGTAGGACTGTCTTGACGTTCGTATTAAAGATTCTGACTTTGAAATCAGTTGACGGCTGTTTTGAGTTCTAGATGTTATTCAATTGTAAGAAAGCCGCCCTTGCTTTGTCAATCCTCGCCTCTACGTCTGCATCCGATCCTCCTTGTTCATCGATGATGCTTCCCAGGTACGTTAAAGATTCCACATCATCCAGAGTTTCACCATCAAGTGTGATTTGGTTGGTGTTCTCCGTGTTTTATTTGAGGATATTGCTGTTTCCTTGGTGTATGTTGAGGCCTACTGATGAAGAGGCTACTGCTACACTGGTTGTCTTGAGCTGTATTTGTTGATGTGCATGCGATACAAGGGCCAGGTCAACTGTGAAACTCAAATCATCCAGTTGCATTCAAACTGTCTACTGTATTCTGTACTTCTTCTCCCAGATGTCGAAGTCTTCATAATCCAGTCAACCAACAGAAGAAAGAGGAAGGGGGAGAGTAGACAGCCTCGTCTGACTCCGGTCCTCACTGGGAACGCATCTGTCACCTGTCCTCCATGCGCTACTTTGCACTGTAGTCCGTCGTATGAGTTCCAGATAATGTTGACAATCTTCTCAGGAACTCCATAGTGTCGAAGAAGTTTCCATAATGTTCTATTCACACTGTCAAACGCTTTCTCATAGTCAATGAAGTTGATGTATAGTGACGGGTTCCACTTAACTGATTGCTAAAAAATGATCCGTTGTGTCGCAATTCGTTCTGTGCACACCAAGAAAGACACAGCGACCACCAATCTTACAATCCGGTTTTCTTTACGTAACTATTTTCCTCATGGCTTTTTGTATTTTTCTACTGAGTCATTCTAACGATTTTTGCACTTCTGAGCTTCTTTGTCCTTTTTTTAATGTGGCGACCTGGTTTAATAGCCTTACATCCCAAACTCAACATTGCTTGAGTCGATTAATGTTATATCCTTTACTTGATTACGGCACAAAACTATCGGCACTCAAACATGTAGAACCGCAGTCGCAAATCGAAAAACGGGAAAAGCTGGGGAAGCGATTATTGGGTAAGAGTCAAAAATGTACAGAAAAACAAGGGTATTTATAGTTTACAGTATAGGCTATAACATTATTATAATCCAGTCAATACCCAAGTAGGAAAGCTACACAATTGTCTGATCACAGCATATGACGTTGATATTTTAGAAGGTTTTACCAGGTTTTGATTGGTTGGGATCTCTTTGGTTCTTCTAGAGCCTATGAAAGCTTCTTCATGCTTTTTTGGAGCAGTCCCAACAGTTAAACTATCCAAATAAAAGCGTATTGGAACCAATGTATAAGCTGTGTATATTTTTTTACCTCCCAACAAAGACTCGGTGAATTGAATAACCAACCACTACGATAAAGTAGTAAATTAGAGAAATATAAATTTCTCAAATCTGAAGTGAAAACTTACACAATAGAATAAGTCGATTCGTAAATAAAAGGATACATAAATAAATACTCCCACAACATTACTAAATAACTAGTGCATAACAACATAATATACATCATCAAGGAACATATGTGAATATCAATACTTACATACTGTTTTTTAATCGAATTTTCCATATTCACCATAGATTGAAAACAGTATTCAAACAAAGATAGGAGGAAAAACAAATATGTTATTAGTGAGAATAAAAAAATTGAATGTTGTACGATTACTAGAAGACATGATGGGATTAATTAGTTCTTAATATCAAATGACAACATATAGGAACTAAAACAAATTGTAGTGTTATAACATTTTGTATGCGACAGGAAACGTATCTATTTCTAAGATTAACAAGTAATCAAGGTTTTAAGAAAGAGGTAATATATTAAAAAACTGTCAAAGTATTGTCATTATAGGAAAAGATATGAACATCTCAATAAACATCCATTCAATGAGTGGCGTTAAAATAAAGTATGTTAATGTATTCACCAATTCTGATTATGTAACTTTAAAAATAGTTAATGAAACAGACAAATTGTGATCGAATATAAATTAGTAACCGAGTACAGGTCTAAGTACTTGGCTCACCAAAACACACATATTACGTAAAGCGTTAGTGACATTATGTGTTATATTGAAACATAACTGATATATATATACTTTGATGGTGTTGAGTTTTTCGAACTAGATGGTTTAACTGCAGAGCTTGTTATATATACATACATATTCTGACGAACCAAGAAAAACTCTCGATTAAAACCGAACTTAGATGCACTGTTCATGTGAATCCAGTACCACTTAACACTGATTAGTCAATAATTTACAGTATGGGCATAATTTACAAATATAGTGAGATCAAAATTCTACAACTAACATGAAAAATGAGTTACAAATCGATCATATTTCTAACCATTTGGTTCCAATGAGAGTGAATTGAGTTAGACAGAGATATATCTAACCCTGTAAACTGAGTTAAGTGACAAGTGTATCAAATACAATAATTTACTAGTCCATAAAATAAGGTATGAGATATAAACCAAGGTTAAAATGATAACTAATTCTAACTACTTTTAATGAATCACAATGAATTGGAACCTGCTGATCCCAATGATTTGTAATTGAAAAAGTAAATTATGAAATGAATACCATTCAAGTCAAAATTGACGTAGGGCCTGGCATAAACGTACATTGGTCTGATACCAAACCATACAAGTAAGACTGTAGAGTGTTAACGACACGAATATCAAATAATTTGTGACAGTGTTCTAGGAATGATAGCGAGTTTTTGGAGGCTCTCAGAAGAGGTAGTAACAGTATCAGTAATTGTAGAAAAGAGTGGGCATAGAAAATACAGTTCCAGAAAAAGAATATAAACCCGTAGGATATAAAGGTATGAGACAGTTTTGGAACTCATAATCTAAGTGGCAACAACAACTGAATGCATCTACGCCATCTTGATTGATATGGAGGCACAACAACCATTGTAATGGCTTTGCTTCGTTAATCAATCACCTTTGTAAACGTCATTACATAAATCTCGACGGTATCTGAAATCAAAAGGCAATAAGAAGCGGCAACTACAGTTTGTTAGCGGATAGCACAGATAACAAAGCCATAGGCACACCAGACGAATTTGAAGCAGAGAGGCGAATATGTGTATGCGAGCAAATACAGAGGCAAATTTATAGTCAAATAGCATAAGGGGACAGCAAGGCAAAGCAAAGGCTAATAATAGGATTCGCGTACGTATATGCACGGGGAAGAGAATGAATCATTGAGAGATATTTAAGCTATCAATATTTTAGCAAGAGTCTGTCATGTGATCAAGTGTACACGTTTATACAGATGATAGTGATCATAATAGTACAAAGAAATATGCGAATTGTTACTGATCAAATAACATTGTCTGTTAAGTAAGTTAAATGTGGTTACGATAAGCGCAAACCCTAACCACGAAACTTTGTAGCATTATGAATAATTTGTATAATAATAACAACAAACATCGTTATAACAGTATTATTGGGATACCTAAATAAACAGACCCTGAGATTTATGTTAAATATTTTTGGTATTTTAAGTAACATTAAACCTATATAATCCTGCTTATTCTCATTATTAACAATTAACACTGACTCTATGACCAATAAAATGAAACTCTATATTATGTATCACATAAAGTTTAAACATTACTCAGGAATATTTACCTTACGTATGTGAATACCAATAAATTACTTTATAGATGTGAGTTTACTTTACTTATCCAGTAAGTCTATTAGTTAGTTCAATGTATAATAGAGGGAACAAAATAAAGTGAAATAACCAATAATTTTAATAGATGTTAGTTACAAATAAAGTTATTGAATTCATACATTTATGATATCATTCCAAGTTGGAATAAGAAACTATGTACTCATAATGTTCACTATGTACTCTCAACAGTTGTATTTTGTTGG